TTTTATTTATTCTTTGTTTTTATTTTTATCTTATGCTGGTCTTCTGCTGCTGCTGCTGCTGCTGCTGCTGCTGCTGCTGCTGGTGCTGGTGACGGTCACATCTGCGGTGTACACGCAGCTCGCATCCATTTGGGTGAAATAAAAAAATAAATTTATAAATTTAAAATATTATTTTTATTTTTAATTTATTTTTAATATATATTTCACAAAAAAAATACAAACATCGTTCGTCTAGACGCAATACCAGCAGCAGCAGCAACACCACCAGCAGCAGCAACACCAGCAGCAGCAGCAGCAGCAGCAGCTGCTGCTGCTGCTGCTGCTGCGCCTCCGCTCGCGGTCCGTTCCCCCGATCCACCTGTTGGGGTTTGTTTATGTCTTTTGTGATATTTAAACAAAAAAATAAAAAAATAAAAAATAAATAAAGTTTTAGGGGTGACAGCAGCAAAAACACGAATATTTGCATCAACTGCTGCTGCAGTTGCTACTGCTGCTGCTGCTGCTGCTGCTGCTGCTAATGCTGCTCGCGGGACAGGGTCACAGCAGCAGCAGTAGCAGCCGTGGCGGCAGCAACACCACAGGAGCTGCTGCTGCTGCTGCTGCTGCTGCTGCTGCTGCTGCTGCTGCTGCTGCTGCTAGGGGGTATACAATGAGAGAGTATTTTGATTCGAGTTGCTGCGTCAGCAGCTGTTGCTGTTGGCACCTTTTCTAGCTTCTGCTGCAGTGCAGCACAGCAGCAGCAGCAGCAGCATAAAAACAGCAGCAAAAACAGCAGCAACAACAGGAACAGCAGCAGCAACAGCAGCAACAACACCAGCATCACCTCTTACGTTTCTTGCTTTTATATATATATACATATATATATAAATATATAAATAAATATATATTAATTATATCTGTTGTCTCCGTCTCTTCTGTGGTTGCTGCAGCAGTAGCAGCAGCAGCAGCAGCAAATATAATTTTTGTTGCAGCAGCAGCAGCAGCAGCAGCAGCAGCAACGCTGGTATGGATCCGTTTGTCTCTTCTCTGTCTCCGTCTGTCTCCTCTCTGTCTCTTTCTGTCTCCTTTGCTGCTTCCTCTCCCCCCCCACAAACCCACCCAGCTGCCCCTAAAGATGCAGCAGCACCAGCAGCAGCAGCAGCAGCAGCAGCAGGAACGCCTGCTGCTGCTGCAGCAGCAGCAGCAGGAAGGACCCCTGATAACATCCTGCTGCAGCAGCAGAAGAAGCCCAAAGGGGGAGACCCGCAAATGGTTGGGGTGTACATACACCGCAGCGACAGCAGCAGCAGCAGCAGCAGCAACAGCAGCAGCAGCAACCGCAACAGCAACAGCAGCAGCAGCAGCAGCAGCGGTATAGACGGGGTCTTTACTGCTGCA